GGTTAATGTATATAGGATTGCAGCCTAAGCTTCATATAAATTTACAAAGGGATAATACATCAGAAATAAGTATTACATTGGTACAAATGCAAAGCAATTGTGAGGTTTAGAAAATCAAACATACTAGTCATGGTAACTACAGTAAAACAAGGATCTTTCCAAAATTGATAGCATTCTCTCCATACAAAGTTACCAGGTGATCTAAAGTATGTATCAATCCCATTAATGTTCTGCTGGTGTATGGTACTTGGAGTTTGCATTTTCCCATCCAACTAACCAAAACATTGTTATGATTGTAAAATGCAAATAATCTTTCCAAACATAACAGTCATGTTATTCTTGTTGTTGTTGTGTGCCTTCAAGTCATTTCCGAACTTATGATGACCCTAAGGTGACCCTATCATGGAGTTTTCTTGGCAAGATTTGTTCAGAGGAGATTTACCATTGCCTTCCGCTGAAGCTGAAAGCATATGATTTGCCCAAGGTGACTCACTGGATTTCATGGCCCAACTGGGAATCGGACCCTGGTCCAACACTCAACTACTATACCATGCTGACCCTCTCAACAGCTATAAGTGAATAGCTTTTGAATTGAAGTGGACATTATAGTATCAGAAGCAGATATTGTCTTAACTGTGACATCATTCTGAGGACCATCATGCATTCTTGCAGTCCTGACATCATTTCCAATTCCTTTATATTTATTTTTCACTATATTATATCCCCCAGTTCTTTTTATAGCGGTGGTGCATAGTCTTGGTTCTCACCAAACTGCTACCCCAGTTGCAATCCAGTTGTTGTACTTCAGATCCCAGCATCCTTTTTCAGTGGCCATGTAGCTTGGGCTTTTGGAATTAAAGGCCAGCAATATTTGAGGATCCAGATTGGGGAATTGCTGTTTTAAAAGATATGTGATCTCCTATTCCACATTCCCCCAGTATACATTCTTTCAGTAATGCTTAATGTTTGACATGTATTTTAAGATACACGTTAGAAAAAATTACATTGCAAGCAAGCTTTCAGGGCTGTGGTAAAAAAATTATTATCACAATTATTTTTTTTAGTATTTGTGAACTTAATCAAGAATTTGCAGGACAGGAGACCCATCAAGAGCATCTTATTTATTTATTTTAGCATTTTTATTTCCACCTTTCAGAGCACAAACCCTCTCAAGGTGATTTACAACTGATATAACAAAAATGATTCAAAAATATTAATTATATACATGTTTTTGTAATAGCATAAAATACACCCTGAGCAGTTCACATAAAACAGATTAATAAGCTGATCCAATTGCTAGTCCCAACCAGAGCAAACCCATTCAATCAATTGATGAATGGTAAGTCAACACTTATATTAATACCGGGGTTCCTGTGTCTACTCTAGTTGGGACTGACTGTTGGCTATTGGCCTCTATTTTTGTTGAATAATATACTTTTAGTAAGAACAAAATTCACATTCACCTGAAGGCTTTGCTCTTGTTCCTTGGCCCTTTTCTCTGTATTGTCCCCAGATCAATGTATCAATACACCAAGAAATGTGTTTTTCTTGATCAGCTTTTTAGAATTTTTGATCTGAATTCCTATTTTAATTTCTTTGTTTAAAGAACAGGCTATTGAGTCTTTTAGGCAACAGAGCATTATGATAATTATTTTTTTTTATTGAACTTTTAAAACATCTGATAGAAAAGGTTAGTTGACCAGCTTACAACACATATAAGACATGGAAAATATAACATATAAATGTAAAATCTTGATTTTATGGGTCTGATGCATGATTACTCTCAAGTATTTCCCACTTAGGGGGGATGCAGGCCAGTGTGGAGTTGGGGCGGGGCAACTGCACGCCGGCTGCCCCGACTCCGCCCTGATGCCACACGCCCGGCTGCATGGCTCGCGGTGTCAGGGTGCCCTCTTGGCGCAGCGTGCATGCACCATTGATCCTATTAAAGATGAAGTTCCAGCACTTGCAAATTTGCAACCACTTTAACCAGAAATCTTGGGAAGGAGTCATGGGTATCATAAGTATCATTTTGAGTGGAGATAGAAGCTATACACCTTATTGTAACATATGGCTCTCCAGGTATTGTTAGCTTGCAAGTCCCAACATCCTCTAGGTGGTGTAGCCAGTGCTGAGAAATGCTGGGAGCTACAGTCCAACAACATCCGGATCAAGGAAACTGTGCTAGTTGAAGGTCCGTATGCGGACACCACACACTAGTTGAAGGTCCGTATGCGGACACCACACACACATATGCTGGATGGCCTTTGGGGGTCCCTTCCAACTCTAGGATTCTGTGTATTTCTCCATGGCAGAAGGGGTTGGACTGGATGGCTTTTGAGGGACCCTTCCAACTCTCGGATTCTGTGAATTCCTGCATGGCAGAAGAGGCTTGGACTGGATGGCCCCTAGAGGTTCCTTTCAACTATAGGATTCTGTGTCTTCCTGCAAGGCCAAAGGAGGATAAGCTGGATTGCCCTTGGGGTCCCTTGCAACTCTAGCATTCTATGTATTCCTGCATGGCAGAAGAGGTTGGACTGGATGGCCCAGGGCAGGCCCTTTCAATTTTAGGATTCTATGTATATGCAAGCAATGCTCTCTAGGACTCATCCCTTTGCCCCTCTGGTTCTACAGAGCCAGATATCTGGCTACAGGGACTGCAGAAATAACAAAGTGTGCAGATGTGCGTGCATGCACATACACACACATGTGCCTTCAAGATGCCCATGACCATATGGGGAGCCTGTGAATTTCCTAGGGTTTCTTCAGTGAGGAATCCTCAAAGGTGATTTTGCCAGTTCCTTCTTCTGAAAGCTAGCCTACAGCTCCTAGTATTACCCCTGGCAGTCTCCCATCCAAGTAGTAACCAGGGCTGACTGACTCTGCATAGCTTCCAAGATCCAGATTGTGTTGGCCTTCAGCTCCCAGCTGAATGGGAATCCAGTCATTGCAAAAACTACAGCAGCACACAATTTTAAAATCTCATTGGCAAGACAGCTTTGTATGTGACTATGTGACTTGAGCATGAGAATTATTAACACACTCTTGCACTTATGGCAGTGATGTCATAAAAGAATGAAACAGTTTGGAACAACAAACTTCAAAAGGATTTTCCCCATCACTTCACAATTGAACCATGTAAAAATTCTCACACTTATGTGATCATGTGGTAAATTTCTCCTCTAGTACATAAAACAATTAAAGGGGCTGAGAAATCACCAATTTGTTTCTTTAGCGAACCATAAAGAATGATTGTCACATCACTAGTCCCACTGTATTCAGTGAGTCATACTCATGAAAGTGAAAGTTTGAAAAGAGAAAGTCAATACTTCAGCAGTTTCCTACCCCCTAATTAAGGTGACATTTGTATACCAGTTTATTTGCGAATAGTCCCTATTGATGCAATTTTGAGTAAACGTATGGAAGGTTGTACTGTGAAAGATCTGTTTTGTTTTTGTTTTTTAAATAGTTCCACAATAGCTTTGTGTGGACGTAGACCTTTTTGTTTAGTCATTCACTTGCTGGACTTCTGAAAATAGTGATTTTAGGCATGGGGAGAACAGCATCCCTTTTGCATATTTTTCAGACAATACCTTTTAATTTCAGTACATGTGAATCTGTAGTGTTCTTGCTGCAGGAAATTCAGAGTCTTTCTGCCAAAGAAGCACTTCGGTTATGGGAAATCTCACTAGCTGTTGTGGCCATTGTTTTTCAAATGCTATATGGAATGTTATATATGTTTCATAGGCCCCTATTGAACAGTGTTTGTAACATTACTTGTGATGAGCAATGTGGTTATAGTATATCTATGTGCTATTTTGTGATTATTTTTATTCTTTATTATCTTGTGCTCATATGTAAACAGGTTATCACTGTTGGGTTAAGTGCATGGTAGGAGAATCTTGAGTTAGTTTATTGTTTAGCTAAACCCTTTGGTTTATATTTGGATTCCTCTATATGAACTGTAACAATAGGATAATAAAGCATTTAGGTATAAAGAAATGAGAGAGAAAAATATATTTGTTTGTAAAGCACCTATGCATACACAGAAGATCCTGACTCCAGTCATGTAGTTCTTTAAAATATCCATGTTTCACATGTGTGTGTATAGGGACCTTCATGTTGCCTATCAGCTTATGGTGACCCCATGGGGTTTTCTTGGGTAAGGAATACTCGAAGGTAATCTTGCCAGTTCCTTCCTCAGAAACGTAGCCTACAGTACCTATTTGTTGGTGGTCTTGCACCCAAATACTAACCAGGGCTGACACTGCTTAGTTTCCAAGATTGGAAGGGATCTGGTGCCTTTAGACATTTAGACCATACCACAAATTAAAATTTAATGTTTGAATGACCTTTTAAAACCATTTTTGTGATGTTTTCAACTGATGCAAAGCTAGGAAGTTACCACTAGATGTCAGCATTTCATAATGAAACGTTTTTGTAGAGTCTTAACTGTTTTTTGAATAAAGAGGTATCGCTTGTTCGGGCGTTGATTATATTAAAGAGCTCCACCTCTCTTTCACAAAAGTACCTTCTGCTCTATAGATCATGCACCTCATCCATATGGGCCAGGAGAACTTGGCATAGTTTAAATGGTTTAAGGATCCTCCTTGCCTAAGGCATTTGTTCTACATACCTCTGGTCAGGCCAATTTAGTCTGATTTCAGCAGAAAAGCTTGGTTTACTTGAAAATAAAGACTGGAATGCAATTAACTAATTAGATCCTTAATAGGTTAGCATTTAATTTATCTTGATGTTGTTAACATATGATCTTCCCACATTTATTTGGCAGTTGCAATGTATATGATTGATTGAGATTTCCATATTTGTAAGCACTGAAGCATATGTTGTTTGTTGTTGTGTGCCTTCAAGTCCTTTCTGACTTAAGGTCATTCTAAGGTGCATCATCACAGGGTTTTCTTGGCAAGAGGAGGTTTGCCATTACCTTCCCCTGAGGCTGAGAGCATGTGATTTGCTCAAGATCACCCAATGGGTTTACATGGCTGAGTTGGGTTTTAAACCCTGGTCTCCAGAGTCTTAGTCCAGTACTCAAACCACTACGCCACTCTGGTTCTCTCAAAACCTAATATAGAACCCATCTGCACTGTAGAAATAATCCAATTTGACAGCACTTTAACTGCCATGACTCAATGCTGTGGAATTCTGGGAAGTGTAGTTTGTTGCAACCCCAGAATTCCATAGCATTGAGAAATGCCAGTTAAGGTGGTGTCAAACTAGATTATTTTTCACTGCAGCCAACTTCTGGTTTTTGTTTTGTTCTTTTTGAACTGCCCTCTATGTTTGCCATGCCTGAGTTCAGCTAGGTGACTAGATAATGCAGTGACTCCCTCCCTCCCTCTATCATATTTATTTAAACTTCATAATGATGTATGATCTCTGAAGCCCTCACAAGATATACAAAATAAAATCAAGTACAATATTAAAACACAGGAACAAACCAAACAAACAGCAACATAAATGCTTTTGGCCCAAGGAGAAAGGGGAAAAACTCCCATTTAATAGTACAATGAAGTAAACATCAGATACCAGTCACCCACAGCTCAAGATCATAAATTATTTAAAAGTCCTCAGTGAACACCTGGTACTGAAAAAGACCATTCAGAAAGTGCCAGATAAGACTCTCTTAAGACTATTAAACAATTGGAATGTCCCCACAAAAATGCCAACCACCCACTTCCACTTGGTTAGGTAAATCTGGGTGAAGGCATTCTTTCAGGTCCCAAGCTGTATAGGGTTCAGCCTTTTTTTTTTTTGGTCAGGTACCAAAAGAGAGTGTGGCCAAGTGCAGCTGACAAAATAGTGTTGGTATATGATTGAAACATAGGAAAAAAGGAGACACGTCTCTTAAGTGCTCAGTAGATGGCTTTTATATTTTGGAAAAAGCCCAGTGTATTTCAGCATGATGGGGTGAGCTCCCGTCACTTGTCCCAGCTTCTGCCAATCTAGCAGTTCAAAAGCATGCATATGCAAGTAGATAAATAGATACCTCCAGTGGGAAGGTGAACAGCATTCTGTGCAATTATGCTGGCCTCATGATCACAGAGTAGTCTCTGACAATGCTGGTTGTTTGGCTTAGTAATGGAGATATATGTGTATATTTCAACTATCTTCTTTAGGGGCTACATAAAAACATAAATATAAAAATAAACTTAAAATTAATTAAAAGGACAACACATAATTCTATAATAATATGGGACCCAGCATGGTGTAGTGGTTTGAGCATTGGACTACAACTCTGGAGATCAGGGTTCGATTCCTTACATAGCCATGGAAACCCACTGGGTCACCTTGGGTGAGTCACACACTCTTAGCCCTAGAAAACCCTGTGACCGTAGGGACATCATAAGTTGGAAAAAATGGCACAATACCACCAACATCATATATCATACTACATATCATTCTAATCTTTGTATACTGATTAAAGCCTGTTCATACCAATATAAAATATCTCTGTCAGGATGTCTTGTTTATTCCACATTAGATTATTAAGGCTTTGATAATCAGGATTTATTGCAGCTGTCTACTGTTTGTGTCGAAAGTGGCAGATTTCCATTTCTTCAGATTTGAAGTAGACAATGTATATAGCTCTTAGTCCTATTTTAAGACATAAATGTTGAGAAATTATTTAATTGTGTTTTTTCTTTGTTATAGACTCTTCTGCTGTTGAAGAAGACCAAGTGTTTGTTAGTGTATTTCACACACAGCTCAATCCAGAAAATTATGCATACAGTGGAAGACAAAGCAAGCAAGGTATAAGATATATTAATATATTTGTGGTCCCTTGACCATGTTTAAAAATAACAGCTATTACTTATGAATGCATAGAGCCTGTATATAGCCTGTATGAATGTCTTCTGCTAAAAACTGTATGGATTGGGAACCACCCAAACCTGTTTCCAAATGTGGCTTGAATAATTTTTCTGCTTCACTCATGTTGCTAACTATTTTGATTCATTCTCAGTAATTACTGTGACTGCGTGGTTGGATTTATGAATGCCCACCGTAGCTTGCCTATTTACTTAAATTTCTGGTCAATAATTAGGTTTATAGGAGGATCACTTTGGATGTTTCTTGTAATCAATTTCTCACAGGGCAGAATAAGTTCTGCACTCCCTGGTGCCATTTCTTCCTTCTTACTCTTCTTTTTCTCCTACAGGAAGGGAAGGATGGACTATTAGGCCTTAACAGAACTGCATTCAGTTTTGCAGCATCTAGATAGTGGGCATGTAATAGGAGCCTGCAGTCTGAGGGTGAGGAGACAGTGGTTTGGATCCTGTGATGAGTTAACATAAGGAAGTTCATGGAAAGAGTGTTTCTTGTCCTTATTTGTGGTCCCTGAATGAAGAGCTGGGGTACCTTCTTGAACAATATGTGATGGGGCAACGGGAACTGCTGTGAGAAGTAGAGTTTATTAATCTTGTACAAATTCTATGATATTATATCATAGGGTCTAAGCCCACTATTTCTGAAAATAAAACTCTCCTAGTTCAGACATTAATGGGAAACAATTGTTCTCTGTTCTGCAAATGAGCCATGATGGACTCACGTGCTCCCTTCACTTAATATGCATGAACACATCAGAAGTATTCATAATACTGTTCAGCAGTTTTGAATGGCAATTAC